AAAAAAAAAAAAAAAAAAAAAACCATACACAAGGGCTAAGCAGGAACTCACCTACCCCATCCAGCCCTGATTGAAGCATAGTCTGACAAGCCCTGTGGCACGGTACTTCGGGTGCTAGGTATAGACGTTCTTGTACAAGTCCCATGCATGGACCCATTCCTATTCCTCCGTTGTTGCATTGTTCGTTGTATGTACCCAAAAAGAAAAAGAAAAGAAAAGGGTCGTGTCAGACCATCTCTTTTCTTTTTGAAACGGCCTTTCAATTAGACTATTACACCCTTGAGCACCACCCATTCTTTTTCTCATCAACAATAAATGTTTGCTCGATTGGTTGAAAAGCATTTGTCAATTCAGTTCGTCCCAACGTCGGCAAGATCACGTCAGACAAATTGAGCCTCAGCGGTGCACATTTTCATCGCTTCAACAGCTGGCAATCAATTGGCTGGAGAGTGAACTCTGCACTCCCTTCCCCGCCCTGTTTTTCATACAGTGGCGAGACTTGGCGAGGCCGAAAAGTGCATTTTCCTGGAGGAAAACGGTTCTTGGTTTCATTACATCGCCGCCGCCACGTGCACTGTGGTTGCTGTCCCTGCCTGCTCCCCAACTGTGGCGGATGGCGGGCTAATAGAACGGTAGGGGCCTTCTCTTCACCATGTACTTGGACTGGAAATAACTCCAGGTGCAGCGAAAACTCGCCAACACTACGGGACAACGCAGGTCGACCGTCAGGACCACGGTGTCAGGGGCATTCGCCACACAAAGCATTTCGCGGAGGGGTGAGAAGTAGCGCCCTCCACGAAGGGCCGTTGCAGGCAGGGGAAATGGAAAGCCTTGGCGACCCATAGCCAAGGGATTTCAGACCCAAATTCTGACAGCTTCCATTTCGTGGCTATTGGCTATGCAGTGGAACGAAGTTGCATACGCCATGCGTGGCCGATGGCGATGCGTGGCCGATGGCGAGTAGTGGAACGAGGCCCTAAGAGTAGCCAACATCCACACTGGGTACTTTGATAAGACCTCGCAGAAGGGAAACAAAATGACTATATACGTGAAGGATTGCCGGCCTTCTGAAAGAAAGAAAAACAGAATAAAAGAAAGACAACGAAGGGTGAGTGAATGGCAATTGTCGGATTTGGCATCCAAACTTTGAATTTCATTGCTATACTCGATGGGTGTTTTTTTTTTTTTTTTTTTTTGAAGTCCAGGGTGTTGTAGAGGTCGGTTTATGAACCCACGACAGGTTACCTATCTACAGTCCGCAACTAATTTATGGGACACAGACCATCCTATCTTGGAGGATCCCCCTCAGACATCCCCTACTGCAGGTTCCCAACGATTTCCTCCACCAGAGTCTGACTTCCAAAATCAAGGATGCACTGCACCATCTGAAATCGGGCTTCGCTGCACTACTCTTGAAACGTGCAAAACGAGAGTGAATCTTCGGCTAGAATATGGACAGATACACCGCCATGATTTTTGTCTTTTGTGCATTTCAAGAGCAGTGCAGCGAGGCCCGTCGCCACCAGTTTATAGCGCGTTCTGAGTGTCCAAGTTCGTCTTTTTTTTTTTCCCCTTTTACAAACAAACACCGGCTCCAATCATATTGGTGTTTGTCTCATCATTGTTCGGTGGACTTCGATGTCTCCTCTGAGTTGCAGTTCTGCTGGCTAGTCCACACTCGACGTGCTCGTTGCTCCGCTTGTCCTAGGAGGTAAGAAGAGATCAGCATTTGATCAATTTCTCTTTTCAGCCATACACATGTTGGGAGGGGAAGGAGACACTGACAGGGGAAACAAACGGGTGACGCGATGATGGATAAAAATATTTGAAGGGGCCGCGCGCTATACAAACGGGGAGTAATCCTTCCCTCCCACTCCACACCTCTTCTGTCACCTCCCCTACATCCGTTTCCTATGAATACAGAGGCACGGAAGGAAACAAAGAACATAACGCTTGAGACCCGTCCCCAATACTGCAAAAGATCTCTCTCTCTCTCTCTCTCTCTCTCTCTCTCTCTCTCTCTCTCTCTCTCTCTCTCTC